CCCCCCCCCCCCCCCCCCCCCCCACAGTCCTATCCAACAACGCTTGAAAGTGAGCATCCCGCGAGGCTCCACAGGCGCTCCTGCTGTCCTCTCGAGAGCGTGTCCTCAACCTACCAGCAGTACAGCACCCAGCTTAGATTCCTTGTTATCCTTGCCAAACACGAGAGGCGAAACTTCCACCTTGCGTCAAGTCCGCATCCCGCTTGGTTTTGGTAACGAACCATCCTAAGGTATGAAATCTGAGGAGTCTACAACAAAGGTAGAACCTTAAGAAGAAAATGTTCATGGTTTTACAGGCAGCTAGCTGCCCGTACGGCACGTTCGCTGAGATGAACAAGCTTGAAACTGCTGTAGAAGCACGGGAAACTCACCACGGCGAGAGGGTGCATGCTACCCAAAACTCGCCACTATCCCCCCGTCCCCCTCCCCTTGTTCTCCCGCCATGCACTCAACACGATGATGAAGCTACTTCCTTGAGAATGTGACGGGAGGATTGTGGGTGGACGTTTGGTACCATCGCTGCAGCCGTAGTGAGAAAGCGACCCCCAAGAACAAGGGTGATTTGATCACGTCAACGAGAAATCCCCACGTAGAATGTGGCATAAGAGTAGTGAGCGCCCCAACTGGTGTAAGTGGCGTCTCTCTCAGGAGTAAGAAGGGGCCCCCGGTAAGACCGGGCGGCGTAGTCCACGAAGGCAAGCACAAGTGACCTCCCATCCCCCCCCACACACACACACCTGGAAACCACGTATGATATCTCCATGTTTTATTCGTTTCGCGGTCCTACGATGATGATGGTATAGCAGAGATGGATTACGTTGAATCGGGCTTGCGGAAGTTGTTTTCCTTGTTCTTCGCCTATCGTAAGGATGTGATCGATTTGTACTAGATTATTTCGTTCTTGAGTTTTTATTGCACATGCGATATCACCGATGCCCGTGCGACAATCACGTTAAATATTTTCGTTGGTTAGTTTTCGATCGCACAAGGGTGTCATATCACCGGTACGTGCGATCTCGCCGAACCGAGCTTTCTCTCGCATCCTTACGGTAATTTGAGCGATCGCTCCGCATCAATGCCAATGTGGGGCTACATAAGCTCGTCCTCTCTATCCCTCTCTACCGTACCTCTCGATCGATCGACAACCGAAACTCAACACCCGCCATCGCGTTGTCGTTGTTTCGACAGGGGAACAGCAGCGATCCCCACGATGCTCAGCACTGGCGGGAGGGCGACACCGACGACAAAGCGATAGCAGACGACGACAAGGGGCTGCACATTTCGAACAAGGGAGACGTTCACTACGTGCCGGATGAGCCGGAGGGGAAGTGGCTGCACTGGCCAACGCTGGCTGCCTACGTCGGCCCGGGTTTCCTAGTATGCATCGCCTACCTGGACCCGGGGAACCTGGAGGCAGATCTCCAGGTACAGTTGTGGCTCCGATACAAGAGGGTACCACCTAAGAGGGGGCTTCGATACCAGAGGGTCGAAATCGGTTGTCACCGACTGGACCCGCTGTAACTATAGTTGATCTTTGTCACGCCACCCCTCTTGTATCGGAGCTACGACTGTATGGCTATGTGGGCCTATCCGCAGTGTGCATGCTGCCGGGTGGTTGCATCACTTGGACGCGTGAGGTGGGTTGCATAAGTCATCACACCCCCTGGACCGATTGTCGAATGTCACTTGACTCTTGAGGAAAAGCAGTCACGGTACCGAAAATGGCGGCGTTGGGAATTGTCTCGTCGAGAGCTTCCCTAAACCGTATCCGTTGACTTCCGGCGTCCTCTCCGTCGTGGAATACCATGAGCCTTGAAAATCGGTCCAGGGGGTGTGATGTCTTGTGCAACCTACGGTAGTAAGTTGGGTTGAAGCCACGTGGGTCTATCACCAGAGTGCACGCGTGCCTTCCTAGTGGTTGCGCCACTCGGAGGGCGGGTTGAAGTGTTCGTCCCACACCGAATGAAGGCGGGTGTAACGGTTGTTTGCTGGGATGGGTGGTATTTTCCCTAGCGTGTTCAGGAGTGCACCAGCGTAGCGGTCGCGACTGCGGTGCAAGGCCATATACCGACCCTCGTTGTGACGCCGACCGCAGAGGTGGTGTATTGTTGTCTCCATCGCACGCGTTGGTGTGCCGGTGTAGCGCGATACGATTGATAGGCTTGGGCCGCCATTCACCCACTGCGTTCGCCTGGTCAGCGATCAGAGAGTGTATACTTGTACTGTAGAACGTGTTTTTTTAGAGAAGGGGGGATTGGCCCGTACTCTGGCGTCCTTGGTGTTCCCGGGGGGCCCACCCGCCAAACGCGCGTTACGGCCCCCAAGTGGAAAGGTGTCATTAGCATGATCGTGCTTCTACTGTAAGTTTTGCGCTCCAGATGTCCGCCACCACATGTGTTTGTTGCGCCGCCCACAGGCTGGTTGATTCACGGTGGTAAATGGCGATCCACCTGCGTAGATAACGTGATGACTGCTGTGCCGGCTCGCGGATGACTGATTAAGCGCCTCACGTCGTCGTTGGGTGTTCCGCTGGACGAAATCCCGTGTTGTGCGTTGGTTATGTGAGTTGTTTCGTTTTGGGACCAGTGAGCACCATTCGGGACTTACGAATATGGCTCCTCTTATGTGACTTACTCGCCAACCTCCCTCTCTCCTTCCCTGCCCCCCCACTTCCGTGCTCAGACGGGGGCATACACGGGCTACCAGCTGCTGTGGGTGTTGCTGCTGGCGCACATCTTGGGCCTGGTGCTGCAGAGCTTGGCCGCCAGGATCGGGGTGGTGACGGGCACACATCTCGCGGACGTGTGCCGGATGCACTACGACCGGCCCGCCGCCTTGCTGCTCTGGGTCATGATGGAGGTGGCCATCATCGGCAGCGACATCCAGGAAGTGTTGGGTTCGGCCATCGGACTGCAGATTCTTTTCGGCATCCCTCTCTGGGTGGGCTGCCTCTTGACAGGTGAAATGTGGGTGGGGGGAGGGCGTACGTACTCATAGTCGTGCATGCCGTTGTCGTTAGACCATTGACATCGCATTCCTACGGAGCCGGGACGGAGCACGCCGGGATCCCACCGCACCAGGCTCTCACATCACCAAGCGCGAAGCGCTAGGGGAGGGCAAAATCCCCCTGCTGAGGGGGAAGGGACACGCTTACACGGATGCCGGATGTCATGGGCATACGGTTATTTAAGGCATTGACGGCTTAGGGAGTTCGGAACGAGCATGTTAAGAAATATCTAATCTTGCCTCTGGTGCAATGTGTAATGGCCGCCTGAGGGCATGCCGTCGACCATGGCGGGTACGTCTTGTTGGCGTTCTGCTTGAGAGGATGTTTGGGCCTTTGGTTCCTATCTGAGGGAGGATGGCGAAAGCTATTCGATACCACATGGGATTGGTCGATTGGTTTATTACACAGAGCGCGTGGTGTCTTTTCTGCCGGTATCGTTAGAGGCAACGCTCCTGCGCAATCTAGCATTCGAAACTCCCCTGTTAGCAGCAGGATAGGTTGTTACAGTAGACGAAGAGGTACTTGTAACCAGAGTGTTTAAGACCTACGCCCCCCCCCCCCTCCAGGGAAGAAAGGAATCAGATGGGACAAGGTGGTAGAGAGGGTTTGGAAGGAGATAGGAGACGAGGAGGAGACTAATGGACACGGAAGGGTTTAGGGGGTTCAAGAAGAAAGTCAAGGAAATGCTAGAAAGTAGGGAGGATGCAACTCTTCGGAAGGAGGTACGAAGCGAAGACCACTTGGAGACATACGGGAAGTTGAAAGAAGAGATAGGGATGAAGAGTTACTTGGACGGCCCCATGGACTACGCAACAAAG